TATCGTAGGTGGTGTATAAATAATATTTTACATACTGAAGCTATGAAGACAAAGAGAGTGTGGTCTTTTGTGTGGTCGCAATCTCCTTTCGTTTTATATAAGTTGTCTGACCTTGTCATATCTTTCTATTGAATAGACTTGGTCTTGTACAGGGAGACTATGTAGAACGCACCTAGTCCGAAGTCGTCTGCCATAGTAGTTGTCATGATTCCCAGCATCTGACATTGGACTTGATACATTCTCAAAAGTTTCGCCGGCATCATCAGTGAGTTTTGCCATTTGCCGCACCAGGCTACTAACTCGTCAAAGAGACAAGTTCTACATAGTCTACCTGACCACAAGACCAAGTTTCGACAACGAGGTCAACCCACTTAGTATATTATCGTTTTTACATTTTTTCGCAACTTATTAGTTTTAACTTGGAGAATAAGAATAACTTCTTTTTTAATGCGTTCTCTTTCATTTCTTTAGCAAGAATCAGTTCGAATAAAATTCTAAAAAGTCTTTCAGCCAGTCAAAAAAAGTTGCGAATGCATAACGAAATTGAGCATAACCAAAACATATTCATCACATCTTCTAACTACCTCACACTCATCTGCAAGCATACTTACATAAAAACATGAATATACCTTGAAAACTCGTAAGCACAAGAAACCATATTTAAATAGTATTTTTACTGGTACAGGAGATCCGCGGACAGCTCAATATTTTGCTGAAACTCTTCTCAGATCATGGCTGGTGGGTAATCATCCTACTTGATGGTCTTGAACGGCTGAATGATGTTAATAGCACGAACATCAGTGGATACTGCGGTCGGCCCAGCGAATTCTTAGAGCGCCAATTGCCTTGTTCGAATCTACCGCGACATATTCGCGTGGTAGCTACTCTACAAATATCTGCCTCCATTGCTGCCTGGGCTCCATCACTTGCGTCGATCAACCTTGGTTCCATATCCTCAGATGAGCCGATCACTTGGCTCAAGATCCCTCCACTTCACAGCATTGACGAATGTTGTTGTATGCTAGAGACATTTTTGGCCGCTAAGCAACGCCTTTTGCAACCTACGCAATGGTGGCTGGTACGCAGGGCCTTTCAGAACTGCAAATTGCCACTCTACGTTAGGCTGATAGCCAAAAAGGTAGGCTTGCGATTACCTTCACTGTTATATTTTGATCACTTTTACAACAACACATAGATAAGACCTAAATTGTTATCTTATAATTAAATAAATAAAAAATAAATAGATAAATATACATATAATAGTGCTCTAGAAAAAAGCCATTTTTTTCTAAAAAGTTTTTTCGAGTATCAAGAATATATTGCAAGGTTTGTGGCTACTTCCGGCAATTACATTAGAGGTGACGGACAAAGTAGATTCAGAAGCTATCGGCTGATCTTGACAAAGAAAGTGCCTCACAAGGCCTTTGCCTTCTAAATTTCTCTCGCA